GCGCATGCCCCGCCGGGCTGCGGGCGGTGCGGCTCGGCCCCGGCCCCGCCGGTTTCCCGGGGGGGACAGTCGGGGATGTGCCGGGCTCTCGGTGTGAGCTCCCGGTGCTGGCGGAGACGAGCCGCACCCGGGGCGGGGGGGGTCTTGCGCTGAGTCACGGAACCACGGAATGGTTGGAGTTGGAAGGGACCTTCTGGAGATAATCCAGTCCAACTCCCCTGCCAGGGCAGGGTTGCCCTGAGCACATCACTCAGCACTGCTTGAAGATCTCCAGAGAAGGGGACTCCACACCCTCCCTGGGCTCTGCCACCCTCACCCCAAAGAAGTTCTTCCTCAGATTTGAGTGGAACCTCCCATGTTCCACTTGTGCCCGTTGCCCCTCGTCCTGTCACTGGGAACCACTGCAGACCCTCCATCTGTAACAGCAAAGTGAGAGAGTCCTGGGGCCTGGACACATGCTCAGAGCATCCCTAGAGATTTTGTGTACAGGAGTAGTTTGCTGGCACAGATCTGCTTACAGAGGAATTTAAACTAAAACCAAAATGTAATTTCGCTGGTTAAATTTTTTCAGTATTTTTACCTTCAGGTGTGCCTGCGCGCTTTTAAATGTCCTTCTCGCAATCTTTAGTAAGAGTTGCTCTGGGTGAGTCTTCAGAGATAAAGGAAACGTGCCCTGAAATCATTTTAGGTCCCAACCCTGCCACTTGCTGCATGCAGTGTAGGAATAACACACTATTTTTTTCACAAGATACTATGAATAACATCAAACACTGGGACTAGTCAGGGGAAATAAGATTGGGGTTGCAAGAGCCAAGCCTGGAATGGCTGATACACGCTGTGTGCTGTGAGTACAGCAATAATTCTCTATTTTTGGCAGATGCAAAGTGCTAACGCATGCGAACGGGAGTTATGAATGATGTGAAATGCAACACTCTGACACTCGGAGAAACTTTTTCATGCAATACTGTGTCAGTATCTCATTCTGTCACCAGTTACACAATTTCAGTTTTCCTCATGCCTGCCCCAGGCACTCACCTTCACCGGGCTGGGCGGACGGGAAGGTAACAAAACACTCTCCAAACATCTTAGTTTGACATTCAATTGCCTAACTTACCATAACAATCGATGATATCATGTGAAAACATATCTCCATGTCGTTCATGAAATGTATTGCCAAAACCAAACACCACAGGATATTGCACAAAGTTCCAGAGGGAGCATGAGGACGAGTAATGGCGTAGTCAGCCTTTCCTGGCAGAGGCCACGTGTGAAAGTATGGCAAAGGGGAGCAGAACATTAGGAGAACACTCTGTGGTACCTCAGGGGAACAGATATGCTGTGAAATCACCATTTTGTCCAAGTTAGAGGTGAGGAAATAGTTCATGCTGCCAGGATCAGTATTAAATGAGTTCCCACTGTCATGTACAAATGCACATAGAGGGGAAAAAATAATAATTTAGAGAACATGCCAGTGGCAAGACTAAAACTGCTTTGAGATAAAGGAAAAACCAGCACAGCAGTTTATGCTTTAGAAAGCAGTAGATTCAGGGTTGGCTTGATCCAAACTCATTGGAAACAATGGAAGTTTTCAGTGAGTCATCAGGAGAGGTCTCTCATCCCGTCACAAACGTGACCCACAGCTCCTTGGGTTTGTGCTTCTCTTGCCAAAAGCTTTCCCTTCCACCCGCGTCCACACCCTGAGCCTGCGCTGACGCGGTGGCTCTGCCGGCTCAGAACTGGCAGCCTGAGCCAGGTGAGCAGAATTCACTTGCGCAGACCGAGCATTTGGATGCCATTTGTCGCACAGCTGAAGACAAACACCAGGTCTGAGCACTATCAGGAGTACAATGGGCGCTTACTTGGCAAACCCATACGCGTAAATGCTTTGCTGGAAAGGCAGATCGTGCTTTAGCCTTTAAATCTTCTGCAGATAATTAAAGCAGCTAGTTGTGAACAGAATTCCTTAAGCTCAAGCCCGACCTTCTGTGTTTCTGACTGGAATTTTTAATTGAAAATTGGCATTCAAGCATGGCCGTGCAGGGAACGGCTTTTCATGCACAGCCTGTCTCGGCGAGGCAGAGGCCTGCCGTGTGCCTTGTGTTTTCCTGTGTGCAACGAACAGCCCCGCACGCTGGGCTTTCCCATTACTCCTCTGACCGTTAGGAACCCCCCCGATCTCCACTTTGCTGTGGTAAGTTCGGGTTTCCCGGGCTCCGGCAGCAGCTCGGGCCACGCTGAGAGGCCGCCGCCCGCCCGCCTTCCCGCCCAAATCGCCTCAGGCACCTCCCGCCGCCCCTCCCCTCGCGGACAGACCACGCCCCCCTCCGCTGCCCACCCAATCCCCTTCCGCGCGCGGCTCTGCCTGACAGGACAGCTCTCCCCGCCTCGCCCCGATTGGCTCCTCTCAGCCGCCGCTCCGCTCCTGCTCCCTTCTCATTGGTTTCTGCCGAGGACGGGGCCCCGCCTCCTGCGCCGCGCCGTCCCTGCCCTCCGGGTTCAGGCGGGCCTTTCCGCACGGTCCCTCAATGGCCACCGTAGCGCGGGCCGTACGTGGCAGTGGGGCCGCGCCGGCCTATGAGCGGCGGCCCCGTGCCCCGGAAGGGGTGTGGCTCGAGCCGGAAGTCCCCCCTCCCCTTTTCCTGCTGGCCCGCCGCTCGGTGCCCCCTCCCGCTGGGCTCCGCCATGTCGCCGGTGCGGGCGGTGCTGGCGCTGCTGGCCGCCCTGGCGGCCCCGGCTGCCGCCTACTTCGTCAGCATCGACGCGCACGCCGAGGAGTGTTTCCTAGAGCGGGTGCCGTCCGGCACGAAGATGGGGCTCATCTTCGAGGTGGCGGAGGGGGGGTTCCTGGACATCGACGTAGAGGTGAGGGGGGGGACGGCGCCGCCGGCGGTGCCCTGCTGAGGGGAGGGCGGCCGGGCGTTGTGGGGCTGCTCGGGGGCCGGGCCCTGCGCTTGTGCCCCGCCAACTGGGGAGGCCCTGGCGGCCCCGGGCAGCCCCGGCAGGGCGGCGGTGGCCTGAAGGGGCCAACACCGACTTGCGGAGGCGTTAAACCGCCGGTGGAGTTTGGGACCGGGCCGCGGGGCTCGCCCTCGGGCGGGCGGGCGGGCTCACTGGGCGGCGGGAGTGGGCCTGGCGCGGTGGTCCCCTCCCGATCTGGGGGGATGGAGGTGCCTCTCCCCGGGCTAAGGCTTCCTGAGTCTCCTTGTCATTCCTGCTGCCGCTGCAGAAGGCGGTTTTCCTGCTTTCAGAGCCGTTCTCTGGAGATTTTACGGCATTATGGAATCATGGAATTGTCAGAGTTGGAAAGGACCTTCTAGAGATCCTCTAGTCCAACTCCCCGGCCAAAGCAGGGTTGCCCAGAGCACATCACTCAGGAGCATCCAGGCAGGTCTTGAAAATCGCCAGAGAAGGGGACTCCACAACCTCCCTGGGCAGCCTGTTCCAGGGCTCTGTCACCCTCACTGTGAAGAAGTTTTTCCTTATATTTGAGTGGAACTTCCCATGTTCTAGCTTGTGCCCGTTGCCCCTCGTCCTGTCACTGGGAACCACTGAAAAGAGTCTGGCTCCATCATCCCTCAAACTGCCCTTTAGATACTTGTTAGCATTAATAAGGTCTCCCCTCAGCCTTCTCTTAGATTTCCTTCTGCTTGGTGTGGTCTTTTCGTAATAAGCCTTTTGGCGGGGAGAACAAACAGGGTTACTTTTTCCCAAAGCATGTTGGTTATTCTGGGATCAGAGTGTCTCCCCTTGAGGCAAAAGGTGTTTGCTTTACTCAGGTTGATTGGCACCTTGGAAGTTGTAGGTAAGCCCTTTCCTTCAATGAGGTTTTAATTCCATTGGAGAAGAATAAGAATTCCTTTCCTCTTGGTGAAGAGTAGATAGTTGTTTGTTTGGGATAACACAAACATGTGAGAGCTGTTGCTGGGAGTGAATATCATAGTTTAAAATTTCATATCACTCTAATACAGGGCAGAGTTAGGAAGCTGTGAGATCCCAGTCAGATGTCACTAGTGGAAGCTCAGCAGCTGGTTTGGTGGCCTGGTGGGAGGGAAGCCTTGAGATCACAGTCACCCTGAGCGCTTAGTACTTAGGCCCTCCGTCCATTTGAAATGGCAACTGCAACAGTGTACAATTGTGTGTCTAAAGTAGTATTGACATAGGGAAGAATTTCTTTTTTTGCCTTTTGTTTTCCTTCAAACATCAGAGATAAGGTTTCCCTGGCTAACAGGGCTGTCAATAGCTTATGGCTTACTTGTTCTTGAATGCTTCTTATCTTGAATGCGGAAGGTCAGTAATCTTGGCCAGTGAGAGAGGCTTTTGTATGGCTTTCTTTACCAAGAAGTTTGTTGGGTTTTTTGTTATGTTGGGGGTTTTTTTGTTTTGTTTTGATTTTTTTTTTTTTAAGATTTCTGTGCAGCAAAATGCATCGCTGCTTTTGAGTTGTGGGAGGGACAGTGTGAAGAATGCCAAACTAGGCAGATTACAGATGGTATTCGTAAATCTGACTGGATAACTTCAGAATATGCATGCAGTGCTGTAACAATCTGCTTTAAGCCACTGACTTTTAAGTAAAATTTATGATATTTTGTTTTCCCCATCCAGATTACAGGGCCTGATAATAAAGGAATTTATAAAGGCGACCGAGAGTCCAGTGGAAAATACACATTTGCTGCCCACATGGATGGAACTTACAAGTTTTGCTTTAGCAACAGAATGTCCACCATGACTCCCAAGATAGTGATGTTCACTATTGATATTGGGGAAGCTCCAAAGGGGCAAGACATGGAGACAGAAGGTGAGAGAGACTCCTGGAAAAAAAAATAGCTCCGACTCGGGAGCTTTTCCCTGCATGCATGACTTCTGAACCTGAGTAGGATTCTCAGAATTCCTATTTCTGCAGGCTCTCTAGTTAGCTGTTCTCTTGCACAGCTAAAATGGATACGGATGT